CCGTTTTGCAGAAACCGATTTAAGTTGGACTGCTACCCCTACTGGATGGTCGGTGCTTCCGATTAACAGCTTCTTCTCGGCTTGGTCTGTTGGCTCCGGAGTGTTTGCTCATTACAAGACGGTGACTACCAACGACGCTCTGGAAACTCTTCAGAAGTATCCTATAACTCATGCTCAATTTAGACCTTCCATTTATATGGAGGCATTGCACGAGAGGAATTTGCGAAGCTTCAGCTTTCCAAACTTAAAGCGTTGTTTCGTTGCCGGAGAACCTACGAACGAACGTATGGTACGTAGATGGAAAGAAGAAACAGGAGTGAAAATCTGGAACTATTATGGACAAACAGAGATGGTATGTTGTTACAGATAAATAGTATACAGCATGACTTAGCAAACTATAAGAAGATAGCAGGAATTAAATAGCAGCTAATCGTGATTTCATAAATTACATTTAACAGCTGTTGGTCAACGAAAATGATTTTTCCTGTTGTTGTTTTGGAAGGACTAACCAAGATACAAGAGACTGACCCCAGGCAAATCAAAGGGCTGATGGGAACATTACTTCAAAAAGTTAAAACGTAACAGACTCTTTTACAGTGATGAAAACCGAAGACAGCAGACTGTCTCAAATTCTGTCGTCGTGGTTTTAAAAAATCGCAGTTTACTTTCCCCTCAAAAATTTATTTAGCATTTCCATACTGGTGTTATTGGAATATTTCTTGTCTGACCAAAGGCACTTTGTCATATTTTAGCATTACCTACTTTGATCAAAAATGAAACAAGATTGCCGTGAAACATGTAGTGTGTCCTTCACATTGAAATTACTGATTTTATTTCAAAGGTATAAGCGCAAAATCTTAGAAATAAATAATTTCTCTTCGCAGAATATCCTAACATTGCCAAGAGAACCTGGGGATGACTCGCGTCCTGCTTCTGTTGGTAAACCTCTTCCTGGAATAGAAATGCTTGTAAGTAAAGGACTGATAAGAACTAGATCGAGTATGTATACAACGCTAAAGAGCGATACCTTGTTTACAAAGTAACCAAGAAGAATCAATGATCTTGAAACACGACCCAACTGATATTTCTGCCATTTTCAAACAGCCATTACCTTTAAAAATACAGAAAATTATGTTTAAAGTGAGTGGAGTCTGATTTGGCCTGTAATCATCCAATTGGTTAATTCGCTGAGTCCTACCAAGAGAATAAGTCGTTACGAGGGAGCAAGGTATCGTGCATATTGTGAAGTGATTACTTTTATGTGATTCAAGAAGAAGTTTTTAATAATCCGTTGATGAAGTACCGAAATTCTTTACAATTCCTGCTAGAGAAACTTACAAGCCTCCGAATCTTCCCTCTCAAAATCGCAGAAAAACTCAGAGACTTTCCTGAATATCGCAACCTGTTCCCTTGGTTTGCGTTCTTAGCACACCTCATGTTCGTTACGCCTTTTTCATATTTCAGATTCATATATTCACTTGCTTATCTCCACCACCTGACGGGTATCAGTTACGAACTTACAACATGACCAGCTCCCAGTTAGCCTGATAACTCAGTTGATAGAGCACAGTACTGGTATAGCAGAGGCCATGGGTTCGAATCCTGCTCAAGCCTGCAATTTTGTTAGGTTTTATTTTCGCATCTGCCTAAGCTGCGTACAAAATTTCGATTTTTCTTCCTGTCTTAAAACGTTTCTAGATTGTTGACGACAATGGCAAAGAAGTGCCTCCAGGTACACTGGGAAGAGTTGTGATTGGTTCGAAGCCTTGCCGTCCAGTTGGAATGTTTACTTGTTACGTGGTAAGAAGGCGTAATAAAAAAAAAAAATAGAAAATTGATTCAAACCTAACCTGCATGTAAAGTAAGGTAATTTGAGGGCCTTTGGAGATTCGAAAGTGCTCTCAACTTATTCAGGAAGAGTTCCATATTTCTTTCTTTGGGGCGAGTTTGCATAGATTAGGTCGGTCATAAGGTAACACCATGTGGACCAGTGAGACAACCCGGTGGTCAGCAAGATCGCGATCGCATGCGATTTGATGAAAACTTGAGGCGATCAAGATGACCGGAGTATTCTCAGGTTGACTCTATCCCACAACAAACCAGGTTTTTCCAGAATTCATTCTTTATTCTGCGGCCGCCACTTTTTTTAGAACCTCGGCCAAAATTATTTCATTGGAAATGAAGAGTAGTCCCGACGTTTTGGAATAGTCTTAAAGGCTCTCCGGCGAGGAAAGTTGAACCATTCCTAAACCGGAAGGTTTAAAGGTAACACTTCTGTATGGTTTGTTAACGTTACCCAAATTCGCAATTAGCCAGGCAGAGGCCGATTCTTCTGCATTGATACCCTGCCATATCAAGTCAGTGACCTGATATGGCCAAATTTGGGATATCGCGGGGATATCAAGCTTGTTTGGTACCACCTTAGACTACG